CAAGTCACATCTAAGATATACATCTCCCGTCACGTTGTATTTGATGAAACTATATTTCCCTATCAAACATTACCCACAGTTGACAAACCCCATAGTTCTTCACAACCCGAAAATACACCATCAGTCCTAGCCAACATTGATACCCAATAGCCCATATCCAATGAGCCCACTTCGTTTGCAACACCACCAACCCATCCAAATTCGAGCCCACCTTTCTCGCCTACAAGCCCAATTACTTAAAACCTACATAACACCAATTCCCTATCTCCCGGTCCATCTCTTCCGACTCAAGACTCTGCTGCCACACAATATCCCACCTCTATTTTTCGTCCCTCGGATACATCACAACATCCGATGGTCACAAGGGCTCGTACTAACTCTCTCAAACCAAAATCCTTTCATACGGTTCTTTCTCAATCATCTGATATTGAACCACGTCTCTTCTCTCAAGCTATTAAGCACAAATGTTGGCAAGATGCGATGAAAGCAGAATATGATGCTCTCATGAAAAATAACATGTGGTCACTAGTTGTCTGTCCCACTAACACTAATATTGTTGGTTGTAAGTGGATTTACAGGGTGAAGAAACGAGCCGATGGCACGATTGAAAGGTAGCTCAAGGGTTTACTCAAGAAGAAGGAGTTGACTATTTTGATACATTTAGTCCTGTAATCAAACCAGCCATAATTCGATTGGTCCTCTCCATTGCTCTCTCAAAAGGCTGGTCTATCCGACAATTAGATATTAATAATGCATTTCTTAATAGTGATTTGTCGGAAGAAGTTTATATGAAGCAACCAAAAGGGTTTGAAGACAAAACTCGGCCTCATTATGTATGTCAAGTGCATAAATCACTGTATAGACTCAAACAGTCTCCAAGAGCCTGGTTCACAAAGTTAAAAACATATCTCGTCTCGAATGGTTTTCGTGCTTGTCAATCTGACACTTCATTATTTGTTCACATTACATCTACGGTCACTATCTATTATCTGGTATATGTTGATGATCTAATTGTGACAGGTTCCAATGAGACTCATCTTCAAAAGTTCATTATTGCATTACATCAAAAATTCTCTCTCAAAGATCTCGGAAATCTAAATTTTTTCCTTGGTCTTCAAATCCAAAGATCCAACACCGGTCTCACGCTATCTCAACAAGCTTACATAACTGACATTCTTAATAGAAGCAATATGTCCCAAGCATCACCCATGACCACTCCAGCAGACCCATATACAAGACTCGTCAAAGATGGTGATCCATTTTCAGATCCAAAGTTGTATCGCCAAATTGTGGGATCTCTTCAATATGCCACGATTACAAGACCAGACAATGCCTATTCCGTTAACCGAGTGTGTCAATTCATGCACTCACCAACAACTCGTCATTGGCCAGCAGTAAAACGGATTTTGAGGTATCTCAAAGGAACACTAAATCATGGTCTACACTTCACACCCACCAAAGCTAAAGGTTTACATGCTTTTTCGGATTCTGGGTGGAATTCTGATCCAGATGATAGTCGTTCTCAGTATGGATTTGCAGTCTTTAATGGATCAAATCTGATTAGCTGGACCTCCCGAAAGCAAAAAGTTGTTGCCCGCTGAAGCACCGAAGCTGAGTATCAATCTTTAGCCTACACCACTGCAGAACTTCTGTGGTTGAAACAACTCATCAGCGATCTCCATGCTCCTATCACCGTTTCACCGATCTTGTTATGTGATAATGTGGGAGCTATATTCATGACAAAAAATCTGGTTATTAGTACACGTTCCAAACACATTGCTTTGGATTTTCACTTCATTCGAGAGCAAGTAGAAGCCGGACAACTTCAAATCTGCCATGTATCGTCTGTTGACCAAGTGGCTGATATATTCACAAAACCTCTGGGCAAAGATAGAGTTGTATTTCTGCGTTCCAAGCTTCAAGTTCATCCTGTCCTTGAGCTTGCTGGGGGTAATAGCAATAGTTTTATAAGTGTAGACTTAGTCATATAAACGTGAGCATTGAATACTTCCGGTCAATAGATATAGCGTAGATACAGGAGAGAATATCTCTTCTACAGTTCTCAACTCTTGTATATAAATCGATGTACAGCTACATATGAATACAAGTGAAAAATTACTCCTATCTGTTTTCCTTTAGGGCATCAGGTGGTCATATGGCTCCTCTCCTCTTTGAATCTGTTTATTATTATGCAAGATCTGTTACATGAACCTCAGCCACAAAGCTTTGAATTTGTTTATTATTATGCAAGAAATAGCAAAGGAAGTACAATCGTTAATGAGAAAAATAATGAAATTACTTGCATGACTACAAGTTCCTGCTTTCCTTCTTTTTGTCTTGAAAGGAATTGACAGAAAATGAATTTATGTAAACAAGCTAAGAAAGAATTTATGTAAACAAGCTAAGAAATGATCTTTTCATTTAAAACAATGCTACCTTGAATCTAAAGGAATCACAACAGAGGGGCAATTTGGTCACAGTTAAAGGAATCACAACAGAGGGGCTGTTACAATTGAGTGTAGGGGCTGTTTTGGAGGGTTTTGAGTGCAGGTCCTGTTTTGATGCTGTTACAATGGAATGCCATTTAGATTCTTTATTAACCTCTTTTTGTTGCTTGATAAAGTTTGCTGCTAAAAATGACAAAGTTTAGTCCCTGCAAGTGAAGATTTGCTGCTGGAAATGACAGTATTATTTACTGTTACCTTGAATCTTTGTAGACTTTTAGTTATTTTCTGACTATTTATAGCAGCAAAATGTAACAAATTTGACAGATTTCCAGCAGTAAATGGTCTTAAAATAAAAATTGTCAAAATGGCATTCAATTTTAAGCTGAATCACAATTCGGATGGGGTCAAACCTGTTAAACAGTATATACGGGTATTTTAGTCAAAAACTGTTGCATCATTAATTTTTTACCAAAAAAAACAGTATATAGGGGCATTTTGGACAAAAAAATCTTAAAATCATTATTTATTTATTTATTTATTTTTATCAAAAATACAGTATGAGTTGTATATTTTACAAAACAAACCATTATTTCATTATATATGATTATTTAGAGAATATTAATATAGTTGTATGTACTTTTGTTGCCCAAATTACTTCAGCACCACTTTGCAAAGTACACTAACGAGAATTATGTAAATGTTTGCGGATCAGTTGCACACAACAACAAACGGATTTTGTATATTTTACAAAACAAATCATTATTTCATTATAGTTTTAAAAAATTGTCAATTTGTGACACTGCAATTCAAATTTTGGTCATTTTAGAGAGCTGCCCCACTTCTTTTCTTATTAGTTGATTTGTAGTGAAAAATTGGTATTAGCTTTTTGTATAGAAGTGTCATATTTTTCTAGGACAGGGAGTGTTTTTAGTAATAAAAAATATGTATACAGGGGCAGTTTGGTCACAATCAAGGGCAGATTCGTCTTTTTGCACCAGCATGTAAATGGTCTTGGATACTAACAGTTTCTGTACAACATCTTAATTGACCGTTAAAATCAGTCAATTCTAACCAAAAAAAAAAAAAAAAAAAAAAAAACTGTATACAGGGGCAATTTGGTCGTAAAAAAGATTTATATGTGATTAGCCCAAAGCAGGAGCAGATTCGTCAACTGTTAAAATCAGTCAATTTAAACAAAAATAACTGTATACAGGGGCAGAAACGAACCCTAGAGAGGGTTCTGTGTTCACTCCCTCCCGATTTTGAGAAAGAAAGCTGAGAAAATGGATTTTCCCTTCCAATTAATCCACGTAAGACTAAAAAAAGATGTCTATGTCATTTATAATTTCAGTTTGTTAAAATGATCAGGTAATTATTATTTTTATTTTTTTGACCGCCAAATGCCGGTTACCAACCGGTTAGATTTGACAAAATGTTAAACTTGGTTGGTGTTTTTTATACAAATATATAGTTAGATGGTGTTTTTTAAACAAACAATACTTTGATGGTCTTTTTTGAACGTTTTTAAAACTTTCATACCCATATAAGTCATTTTCCCTTTTCTCATTTTACTATAAAGTTAAAGCACACATACTAAAGTTTAATGTCGTTAATGTATAAGAAACACTCATGAACAAAAAACACTATTGGAAAGTAATTCATGACACAAGTTTTCTAGAAGCAACAATAAGTCGTGTTGCGTTCCGATAGTCAAGATAACAAGTTCATTAGGAAATCAAGCGATTTCAACATCTAAGAGAACAACTTACAAATGCTTGAATAACAAAGGGTTCCAAATTCGATCCTAAACCAAATCAAACCAATAAGTGAGTTTTCAAAATAACTAATTACATCAAAATCAAACGGTTTTTATGCTATATTCTAATTTAGAAATTGTAATTTCAAAATGAGAATGTAAAGTTCGAATGCATATGTATTGGGAGTGGGACCAAAAACCAGGAAAATGGTTTTTGATGATGCTACATAAGTTAGAAATGACATGACATATTGATACAACTCGGCTTTTGGCCACATGTATCGTCGTCGGGTTATGCCACCAAGCAATTCATGTTATTTTAATGAACCCTCACAAAATAACCACATAATTATTCAAAATTTAAGATAATAACCAAATTTTCCCATTTACCAAAATGACTACCAAGTTAGAAAATTTGCATTTCGAAGTCCTTTTATTTGTATCATACTTGTTTTGTGTCATATCAAAAGTACATTTTAAACTTAGAAAAATGTAAATTCCGGACAAGAAAATATATTTCAAAATAAACATTTCCAACAAAAAAATATATATTTAAGAAGAGTAGACTTCGAACAAAAAAAAAATATTTTGGATTTCGAAGATGTTCATCAAATTTATAAGTGAGTTAGAAATTTAAAATAAGGTCATTTCAGACGGATGATCATTTTTTTACCATACTTATTCACAATAAAGAACTTTACTCCGATTCTTAGCACATTCCGCAAGTACTCCTAATGCTAACATATAAATTTTGAATAAATATTCTTAAATATTGTTTAAAAATCAACATAAAATACATTCCTAAACAAAAGTTACATATAGCAATATAACTTAACATTATGGCTCAAATGACGGGATTTGATCCAAAGAACCAATAGTTGTTACCCACACAAGCCTCTCAACCAAACCCCTATAAGGATCCTCCCCCCTCCTCATTAACAAATAATCCACATTCTTTTCAACTTCACATTGTATTTTCAAGTACAATTCCCTCAAATAATCTTTGTCATCCAACATATTTTCCTTTCCTTTTGTCCGTATAGGCTTCCCAAATAAATAGTAGAGTCGACCCGGTAGTTTGGGTGAAAGTATAGGAAGATGAAGTGGTTGCTTAGCTATCTCTCCAACCATCCCCTCTCTATCACCAAAACAATATAATACTCAAATAAGAAATAAAACTAATACCAAGTAAATTCACCTCAAGTAGACCGAAAAAACCGAGTAAATTCACCTCAAGTTTGTTCTCCCTTGGTTTAAATCATTGAGCATTTGATTAATAAAAGGGCTTCTCTTCATGTCATTATAATCAAGGATTATCTAGTAAAAAGAGTAGATAAAAAAGTTGAAAACTAGTTGATTTGATCAAAAGTTGTATGAAGTGAAATTGTAAGTTGTTACTTGTGATATGTCATCTTCACCAACAACTCCAAATGGAACAATGGTGGCTCCAAACTTCACTGCCATTCTTACAAATTCTTGTTTTTCAGGCCAAAACAATTTGTAACCTTCACCCTGTTCACCACAATATAACTTTTTTAACTCACCAAAAAAATAAATAAATAAATAAATAAAAATTAAAGAAATGAAAGTAGGTTGCTATTTCATGCATAAGTTGGTACCTTACGATGGAGAGCCTCGCGTAGACCACCGGGGTAAAGTAGTGTATAAGATTTTGTTGCTAACAATTTAAAAAGATTTTTTCCAGAAACTGGAATTGCACCAAATAGGTTCAACATATCGAAAAATGGAATCATGAATTGTTTTTCATCAAGTTGAAAGAATTGTGGGTGAGCTAAACCATGAAGCATGACTTTTTTTTCTCTCAAAAACTCGGAGATAATAGGAAAAATATCAAATCCACATAGCATGTGATTACCAACTATTAATACGGGACCTTCATCTGGAATCCCTGAAAGACCTCTCACTATTTTTCCATCCTCCATTGTTGAGAACATTGCTGCACCCATGGAAAGGCGATGCCACCTGTAGTGGATCGTAGCTTAATATTTGGTTAAGCTCGTATGAATAAAATTCAAAAGTGGGAACACATAGTCTTCATTTGATTACAATTAAAAGAGTATAACTAAGAAGATAAAACAAGTCAAATTTGTTAAGTTACCAAGACCCCATTGGTGAGCTTTTGAACTCTCTCATGCTAGGAGGCAAAAAGTCCTTAACAACATCATGCTTAGAAAAACGGCGATACATCTTACTAGTCTTTATAGTGGACAGCAAATTAACGCCATTCTCCTACACCGACAAAAAGGGACCCACATTACTGCTTTATTTTGCCACGTGGACGCTAGGGAATCAGTCAAACTGGTCAAAGTAGGATATCTTATTACCAATAGGATTGTGTGCCCATTTTCCTCAAACACACGTACGTTGCAGTGCTTCAAGAATCTTGAAAGCCTTTGGGCTTCATTTTTACTTGGCACCAGGTTATCCTTGCCACTGAAATGAAAATATCTTAGCAATGTTATGAATTAAGAAATATCTAAAAGCACAAATTTTTAAACCAGGGTGTTGTTTCTTTTTTACTTAATGGACTTAATGAGAACAGAAATTAATCGGGTAAACTATGGGTGTTTGTGTTTCCTTTTTACTTACTGCAAAAAGAACGACTTAATACAGAAAGTTATGGAAATGAGATTTTCCCCATTAAGTCCTGACTTTTTATAAATTTACCCTTATTAGCTAAAGAAGAAAAAAACCTAGCAAGCACGAGTACTTGAGCTGTAATAGCATGGAGGCGGGAATTAGCATAAGCAGCAGCTGATTCAACTAGCTTTAACCTCCATTTAAGAGTGTCTTGTGGTAATATTTTGGCCATTATCTATCAGAAAAAAAAAAGTATTATATTTACATTCCATAGTCTTTAGTAGATTGAACAAGCTAAGAATGGCATATATTGCATAATGTTAACAAAACTGAAAACTAAAACAATGACAAGAGCTAAAGAAGTAAGAGATCATGAAGGTGAGTCTTACAGAAAGAAGTGGTAGATCTTTGGTCAAATTGTAAAGAAATTGCCAAAGAGATGACAAATCATTTACACCATTACCATCTATTCGTACCATTGCCACCTTTACAAAATCACCTGAAAAGAAAATGTTAGCATGATTAAAAGAGAATATATGCAAGAACAAAAACCCTAATGTTACATACAATTTATTAAATTGGAGAAAACCCTAATTCAAGCAGTAACCTACCCAGAAGAGGGGGTATGACATAGGGTAGCATCCCATAATGTTTCTCAGGTAGAGCTCTTAGGAGTGGCAATAAAGGGTGTACTTGTGACCTCTCAAATGAAGTTGCTGAAATGGTTAGATTAATATTCAAATTGAATAAGAAATACATGTATGAAATTGGATTTACTGAAAAATAGAAGAAAATAGGGGAAAAAAAGAGACCTGGGTTTACTAATATGAGTATTAAGTCAATTGTAGGGTTACGAGCAGCGACTGAAAGTGCTAGGGTTCCTCCAAAAGATTCTCCAAGCAAATAAATCGGCTTATTTGGGGACAAATTATGTTCAATCTTCACAGTTTCTTCCACAATTTGAATCAAACCTTCATGCAAAGCAACTTTATATAGCTTCTAAATGGACTAACTTCATGAAGTTATGAGCAATTAATATAAACACTAAAGAAGGTGCTAAACCTTCAAGTGGTGTTCGATCCTGAACAGGAATATGCAAGCATTGAACATGAAAAACCCTGTCATCAAAGTTGAAAAAAAAAAAAATACAATTGTAAAGTTGATGCATGTAAAAAATAGTAATCAATTTCTTCAAAGAAACTTGCTTTACTCACTTTCCAAGAGCTTTCTCATGTACAACAAGGCCAGTTCCAGTTCCATCTATCCCTAAAGACATTAAATTTTAAGCACACAATTTATAAGCATAGAAGTATTTTTTTTTTTTTATTAAGCAATAAAAGCAAGGAAGCATACATGTTCTGAAATTTGTGTAGCTATCAAATACTACAAAATTACCAGGAATATATAAAAGAATAGGCGAATCTTTTAGAGGTATGCCACATGCAATGGGGCAAAACCACCTTGGAGGTCCTCCATCATTCTTAATCAAATCCATGGCTATATAGGCGTAATCCTTTGCAGTTTGTGTCCCATATCCATCATCCCACAAAGGTTCCAATTCTTCTACAACATTTTGCATACTCGTTTTTCCTTCATCCCCAGTATCATTCTTGTTAACAGATGAAGCTCCATTGATGCTAACTGAAGCCCATGATACCTCACTACTTACACTCCTAACAAGAACATGAGAACGCAGACTAAGGTTTTCATTTAGAGTGAAAAGGGGTGATAGTGGAACAATGGAAGTGTTCATAAGTAAAGCGATGGAAGATTTCATAGGGAAAACTGCTTCAAGAATCAAAACCGAGACTTTGCTCTATGATTTAAAGAATTTTAGGAATATCATATCTTGATTGTTATTATCCTAAGTGGAAGCTACGTATGTATGTAAAATTCTAAACTTAGTAAATGAAAACAAAAGAAAAGGGTGCAAGTTACGTACTGAAACTGAACTCAGAAAACCAAATGAAATGTGTGTTTTCATGTATCATTCCATATGAATGACATAGAGATACACATCATGCATGTAGGTGGGAAATAAGTATGATAAGAATCCAAAACTGGAAATCTGGTAATGAAAAACAAAACCTACATAAATGATATCAAGTTCAAGCCGAATTAAAATTAGGTAGGTTTATATCGAATTTTAATTTAGTTTGTACTTTTCAAGTCCATATATTGTAAACCAAAATCAATATGTATTTGATTGAACAGATTGCATTTAAACATTTAACCGATCCATTTAAACAAATACCCTAGTTACATTCATTCATTCATGTTTGCTTTATGTATCAAATTGTATTTTATTGGTAGTTTGACATTGATTTGTAATTACTTGTCATTTAGTACAAAAAAGGTTAAACGGATTTGTTTAATAATTTAATAACTTCACACCTAAACATTTCTAATGAAATACAAACAAAAGATACAATGTACAAATATTTATATAAATAATAGAATGTATAATCATGGAATAACAACAATTATCAACACTTGTGTAAAACAAAAGGCATATGGATAATTTAACATTCATGGATCAAAAGAGGGAATTCGATCCAAGTCCCCATTATTCATTTGTTGCCACACGAACCTTCGAATAACACTTCTATATGGATCATCATCACGTTTTTTAAACAAATAAGCCATATTCTTTTCCACATCACATTTTATCTGCAAATATAAATCTTGAATATAATCTTTGTCATCTAACATATTTTCCTTTCCTTTTGTTCGTATAGGCTTCCCAAACATAGCATACAGTCGACCTGGCAACTTTGGTAAAAATATAGGAAAATGAAGCGGTTGTTTAGCAATCTCTCCACCCATCCCCGCCCTATACATAAATAACAAAAATAATAATAATAATCAGCAATTATGCATTCACATATAAAAAGTGATTAAGATTTAGAAAACAAACATAATAGTAAAAATTCACCTCAAGTTTGTTCTCCCTTGATTGAATTCATTCACCATTTGATCAAGGAAAGGGATTTTTTTCATTTCATTGTAATCAATGAGTAGCTGGAAACAAAGTAGATTAACAACATCAATTAGTAAGACAATTAAAGATGAAATAAGTAATACTAAAAAAAAATTAGTTTGTGAATTTGTAAAGAGAATGAGATAGTTCTTCTTACTTCTGACATGTCATCTTCCCCAACAACTCCAAATGGAACAATGGTGGCTCCAAACTTAACTGCCATTCTTACAAATTCTTGTTTATCAGGCCAAAACAATTTGCAGCCTTCACCCTGTTCACCATTATTTTAATAGTTTTTAATATATCAAATTATTCTACAACGGAATGGAATCACAAAGGAGTGGAATGGAATTGGTGATTGATTACCTTACGATGGAGAGCCTCCCTAGCACCACCAGGATAAAGCAACGTGTATGAATTTCTTGCTAACAATTTGAAGAAGTTTCTTCCAGAAACCGGAATTGCACCAAATAATTTCATAATATCCGAATATGGAATCATGAGATATTCATATTTTTTATCAAATTCAAAAATCTGAGGGTGGGCTAAACCATGGATCATGGTTTTCTTTTCTCTCAAAAACTCTAAAACAATAGAAAAAACATCAACTCCCCATAACAAGTGATTACCAACTATTAATACGGGTCCTTCATCTGGAACCCCTAAAAGACCTCTCACTATCTTTCCATCTTCCATTGTTGAAAACATTGATGCACCCATATAAAGCCTATACCACCTACACTCAATCACATAATATATATTATATACTAATATTTTTATTTCCTACTGGTTTCTAAATTTATTAAATTACCAAGCTTCCATGGGTAAGGTTTTGAACTCTGTCATACTTGGAGGCAAAAAGTCTCTAAAAATATCAAACTTTGAAGAATGTCGATACAATTGAGTAGCTTTTATAGCCGATAACACATTAACACCATTTTCCTGCAATGAAAGATTTTGATATTTGTTAAAACACAAAAAAGAACAATTTACATTTTATATTCCAACAAGATTGCAAATTTGTGTTCCACCTAAAAAGGTGGGGACTTGATTTTGATCTCTTGTCTGTGCAAAAGACGTGAATGCCCTCCTTATTGTCATTACCAAATATACCCAAAAGGGGTAGTTTTGTCCACAAGAAAAGTGCAAAAAGAAAGATCTTATTATATTCCAACAAGATTGCAAATTTTTGTCCCACCCAAAAAGGTGGGGACTTGCTTTCGATATCTTTGACTGTGCAAAAGACATGAATACCCTCCTCATTGTCATTACTCATTGCCAAATATACCCAAAAGGGGTAGTTTTGTCCACAAGAAAAGTGCAAAAAGAGATCTTAATTAATATATACCATTAATATTGTGTGCCCATTTTCCTCAAACACACGTATATCACAGTGAGGCAATAATCTTGAAAGCCTTTGGGCCTCATCTTTACTTGGTAAGAGGTTATCTTTTCCACTGAAATGCAAATATTGTATTACTAATAAAAAATATAGTAACAAGAATTGAATTATGAAGTTACAAAAAATAAAAATAAAAATAAAAAGAACCTAGCAAGAATTAGAACTTGAGCTGTAATAGTATGAAGACGAGAATTAGCATATCCAGCAGCTGATTCAAGAAGCTTAATCCTCCAATCAAGAGTGTCTCTTGGAATTATTGTGGTCATTGCCTATATGAAGTAAATTCAAGAATGGAAGTGGAAGTTATTAGAAGGGCTTTTCGGTAAATTTTATAAAGTTGAAGGTGGTGCTTACAGAAAGAAGTGGGATATCTTCAGTATGATTGCCAATCAATTGCCCAAAAGAAGGCAAATGGTTTGGACCATTAGTGTTAACCATTGCCATCTTTACAAAATCACCTGAAAGAAAATTGTAAAATAAATAAAAGAAAGAGAATTATCATTATATTATCTTAGTCAAATTCTAAGTTGCAATAAGTAAAAAACCTAAAAGGAAGCTTGTGAGATAAGGAAATGAGCCATAATGTTCCACAGGTAGAGTCTTCATGAACCCTACTAAAGGATGCAGTGATGACCTCTCATAAGCAGTTGCTGAAATGAATAAAATATACTATTATAAAAATCGAAATTACTGAAAAATAAAAGAAATTGTGAAAAGAAACAAAAAGAATAATTAACCTGAGTTTGCTAGAATGAGTATTAAGTCAATTGTAGGGTTACGAGAAGCTACTGCAAGTGCTAATATTGCTCCAAAAGATTCTCCAAGCAAATAAATCGGCTTATTTGGGGACAAATTTTGTTCAATCTTTACACTTTCTTCCACAATTTTAATCAAACCTTCATGCAAATATAAGGGTAAAACAGTCATTTACTCTCTCATTCTACTGGTTTCATGAAGTTTTACATAATATAAATACAAACCTTCAAATGGTGTTCGATCATGAGAAGGAATATGCAAGCATTGAACATGGAAAACCCTGTCATTGTATAAAATTTAAGCAAACATTTACATCTTCCAATTAAAGATTCTATAAAACAAAAGTTTATAAGAAAAAAATGTTCAAAGAGAAGATGAAGATCAAGTTCAACTCACTTTCCAAGAGCTTTCTCATGTACAACAAGGCCAGTTCCAGTTCCTTCCAACCCTACACATCCAATTAGGAAGTAAATAAATATAAGCATATCTTGCAGGGGTAAAACGGTAATTTGTATAATTTTATACCAATTACCAGGCAAATACATAAGAACAGGAGAATCTTTTAGAGGCCTGTTACAGGCAACAGGGCAAAACCACCTAGGTGGCCCACCATCATTACTAGTTAAACGACTCAAATCAATGGCTATTTTAGTGTAATCTTTCATGGTTTGTGTCCCATAACCATCATCCCACAAAGGTTCCAACTTCTCAGGGGCATTTTGGGCACTCTTTTTTCCTCCATTTTCATAAGATGCTAGTGCTACAACTGTATTCTTTCTGTTAACACAAGGAGCTCCATTGATCTTGACTATACTCCTAACAAGAACACGTGAAAGCAGCCTATGGGTTTTGTCTTGAGACAAAAAGGGTGATGATGATGAGACACTTGAATTGCTCACAAGTAAGGCCATTATGGAATACTTCCACAAGAAAATTGCGCCAAAAAAGTCAAAATCAAGACTCTTGCTCTATGATTTTATGATTCTAGTAGTTTTAGGGATTTTAATGTGTTGATATTTGTATAATTATGAATTCAGTAACAAGAAACCCTAAGAAAAGGGTGCAAGTTACGTGTTTAATTGAGCTCGGGAACAAAATGAAATGTGCGTTTCATGTATCATCCAATATGAATGACAGAGAGATTGAAAATCACATATGTAGGCGGGAAAAACGTACTCATATAAACAGAATCAAGGAACAAAGAAGAAAGGTTAAAATTTTGTTTTACCTGGATGATCGAATGGCGAATTTAAGGTCAAAGAGGATGGAGACTATCATTGCCGTTTGTTGGTATCTCCAATGCAGCCCAGCCAAGCTAAAAGCACAAGTTGGTACTGAAAACAAAGCTTCCAAAATCAGTCACACGAGGTCAATTTTCGTCGTAATATTTTCAAACTTTCGACTAATTTTGCAAGATTTTATGGAAGCCTACTGAAAGGGGGAATTCGATGCTTGCTCTTTTTTTCCATAATTAATATCTTTATGGTGGTTTGTCACTATGTTGATTTATCGCTGGTAGATTATGAATTCATTTCCCCCCTTTTTTTCGTTCATAAAAGAAATGGTTTACAATGTTCGTTGAGGGTGAAGGATTCGACAAGAGAACGCTGTGTCGGTGGAGTTTCCTCCCAACGCCTCTGCGTCCTATAAGGATCATCGGAATATTCTTCATTTTCTTATCGATTTCGGTGGCGCTGCTACGGACGGGATATATTTGCTGCTTCTTGTGGTGAGTTATACCTCAACTAACCAAATAGTTTTACGAATTTTCTTTTTTCATGGCTATATGAGCAAAGGGCAACAGCTTTTACATCCACATCCCCCACAGTGAAACAAAAGAAGATTACAACATACAAACATTTATATAAACTAGGAAAGAGCCATTTTTCGCATGGGTTGGAAATAATTTAAAGTTTCTTAAAAAAGAAAATTGATTGGAAATAATTTAAAGTTTTCTAAAAAATATTGGCACAAAAATGACATTTTCCAAAAACATATAACAATAAATTCCAAGAGTGTACAGTAGGTTGACTACCCATTGACCAAGGAAGCGTCATATGTGTGATAACCAGAAAATATTGTGCAGAAAAAGTATGTGCAAAAAAAGTATCGAAATAGAACAATGTAGGAAAAGAAAGGGACCAAATTGACAATTGAACATACTTCTGGATGGAGATTGTAGTAGTAAAAATTGAAGGGATGTAAACTGTGGAACCACAATATTAGAAAAGGAAGGGTCCAAATTGACAATTGAACATACTTGTGGGTGGAAATTGTAGTGGTAAAAATTAAAGGGATATAAACTATGAAACCCCCAAAAAGTGGTGGCAGAAACCTAAAATTCTAAAATTTACTGAAAGTATCGAAATAGAACAATGTTTGAAAAAATATTGAAATAGAACAATGTTGGAAAAGGAAGGGACCAAATTGACAATTGAACATATTTCTGGGTGGAGATTGTAGTAGTAAAAATTGAAGGAATGTAAACGGTGAAACCACAATATTGGAAAAGGAAGAGACCAAATTGACAATCGAACATACTTGTGGGTGGAAATTATAATGATAAAAATTGAAAAGATGTAAACTGTGAAACCCCAAAAAATAGTGGCAGAAACCTAAAATTCTAAAATTTTTTGTTGAAACTTGCCATGCGTTTTAATATATATATATATATATATATATATATATATATATTATATATATATATATATATATATATATATATATCCTCCCTAATAAATCAAAATCTTTTTGTCACATGTCCTCTTCTCTTTCATTTGGACATATGACATTTTCTATAATTTTTGAATTTTCTATTTTCCACTTGTCATTTTATTGTATTTTTCATTTTATTAAATTAAAATTTCATATTTAATATGTAAGGTATTTATTAGAAAAGGTTTGTATATGTAATGTATTCAATGTGTTAAAGTCTCATTAATTTTAATAATTCAAAAATTTTCTCATTTTTCTTATAAATTCAAATTTCTCAAATTGTTAAAATTTCATATTTAACTTTTTTTAAATAAACTCATGTAATATATGGGTCTCACTCCTAGTATATATAAAATGTAAAACTGATAATCCTAGTAAACACAAAAGGCACATAGATAAATTAACGTTCATGGATCAAACGATGGAATTCGATCTAAATCCCCATATTTCATTTCCCACAGGAGCCTCTGAACAATACTTCTATATGGATCGCCCTCACGCTTCTTTAACAAATAAGTTACATTCTTTTCAACATCACATTTTATCTGCATGTATAATTCTTGCAAATAATCTTTGTCATTTAATATATTTTCCTTTCCTTTTGTTTGTATAGGCTTCCCGAACATAAAGTAGAGTCGACCAGGTAGCTTTGGTAAAACTACGGGAGTATGAAACGGTTGCTTAGCAATCTCTCCACTCATCCCCTCCCTCGTATCAAAGAAAATAGAATTATTAGTATTAATCACTTTTAAGGAGTACACTGATAATCACATAAATCATATGATATTTCCAAATGAATTTACATCAAGTTTATTCTCCCTTCATTGAATTCATTCATCAATTGGTCGAAGAAGGGGATTCTTTTCATATCGTTGTAATCGATGATTAGCTGGAAACAAAGTATATTAACAATATTAAGTAGTGAGGATTAACATGATATAAGTTAATTTGATAATGAAATTGAAAGCTAGTTTGTTTGATTTCAAAGATCAAGTGACTTTGTAAAGAGTATGGAAGTGTGTTCTTACTTCTAATATGTCGTCTTCCCCAACAAATCCTAATGGGATAATGGTGGCTCCAAACTTCACTGCCATTCTTACAAATTCTTGTTTATCAGGCCAAAACAATTTGTAACCTTCACCCTGTTAATAACAAAGAAAGTGATTTTCAAATTTCGAAGAAAAACGTTCATTCCTTTACATATTTTAAGGCATATATTAGGTCATCTACGATGCATTGAACTCATTAGAGTTTAATGGATTGCTCTACTCTCCTACAACTCTACCAAAATTTTCTTACAATGGCATTGAACTTTAGAAAGTTCTATTTTTAATAATTAAAAGGTTTCTTTTTTTCTAATTGAACTCCATATCCTTTAAATGCCAACATGGCATCCCTTAATGGTGGAGTTTAATCCATTAAATGCCAATTAGGCATGTCATCTCATTCAACTATCCCATTGAACTATGTAATTGTGTTGTCCATGTTTTCATTACACAAACCATCTTAATATACAATAAAATGAGATGATGATTCGAAGATGTAAAAGAAGTTCAATTATATATTTAATCATTTTAACAATAAAAAAAACAAATGATGAAGCTTTTTTTAAGTGAAATACGAGCTGAAGTAACACACCTTACGATGAAAAACCTCCCTTGCACCACCAGGATAAAGTAATGTGTACGACTTTCTTTCTAACAATTTGAACAAATTTCTTCCAGAAACAGGAATTCCACCAAACAGCTTCATTATATCAACACATGGCATCATAATATGTTCATATTTAACACCTAATTGGAAAATCTCCGGATGGGCTAAACCATGAAGCACTATTTTCTTTTCTCTTATGAACTCTGAGACAAGTACAAAATAATCAAATCCCCAAAGCATGTGATTACCAACTATTAATACAGGTCCTTCATCTGGAATCCCTGCAAGACCTTTCACTATCTTTCCATCCTCCATTGTTGAGAACATTGTTGCACCCATGTAAAGGCGAAACCACCTACAAAAAGCTCCAAAGTTAGATCTTATCCTATAAATAATATCGACTTCTAACTTTTTAAAACTCAAAGTGAGAACAAATATATAGTTTTCATTAGATTAAATGAGAGCTACAAAATTAAGGAGCAAAGAAAAGAAAACAAGTTAATTTTATTAGATTACCAAGCCTCCATTGGTAAAGTTTTGAACTCTGTCATACTTGGAGGCAAAAAGTCCCTAAAAATATCAAACTTTGAACAACATCTGTACATCTGAGAAGCTTTAATAGTGGATAACACGTTAACACCACTCTCCTACACCAACAAAAAGGCACTCACATTATTGTATTATATGTCCTATGGCCATTGTTTTTCACAAGAAAATTGAAATAATAATAATAATAATAATAATAATAGATCTTAATACCAATAAGATTGCATGCCCATTTTCCTCAAACACACGTATGTTGCAGCACTTTAGTAATCCTGAAAGCCTATGAGCCTCGTTTTTACTGGGTAAGAGGTTATCCTTGCCACTGAATGCAACTATCTTAGTGATATATATATATATATATATATATATATATATATATATATATATATATATATATATATATATATATGAGCTAGTTTCAAATGTTGATTGACATCTATTGTGCGGACGTGTGGACAGTGATATCCTATGAGAATGACAAATAAAATATGTTGTTTGATAATGTTAATACGTTCAATCTTACATAACTATTGTCATTATCAAGCATTCTCATCAATTAAATCGTCTATAAGGTTATTATAGATTTTTTTTTATTCTTCTCATTCTGTCAGAATATTTTCAGGATGTTTATTGAGTCATATACTGTAAGAATGAAAATGAGTGAAAAACGATGTGTGAGAACAAAAATGAATAAGAATTAGTGAGAATGCATGGAAATAATAATAATTGTGTGAGGTTGAACGTATTCACATTACTAAACAACTTATTCTTTTAGTAATTCTCATAGAATATGATTGTCCACACGTCCGCACAATAGTTATCAATCCACGTAATAACCTAGCCCATATATATATATATATATATATATATATATATATATATATATATATATATAGTAACAAGAAATAAACTATGATTTGAGTTAGTTAAAGAAGAAAGAAATTAACCTAGCAAGAACTAGTACTTGAGCTGTAATAGCATGTAAACGGGAATTAGCATAGGCAGCAGCTGATTCAAGTAGCTTTATCCTCCATTTAAGAGTGTCTTTTGGTATTATTGTTGTCATCATCTATCAGGAAAACGTATAAAAATGAGAACCTTGATGATAAAATTGGACAAAAATGAATTAATATAGCACACCGAATTGAAGAAACTAACAATAAACGAAGTTAAGGAACAAGTACATGACTCATATCTCCATTAAGATTGCCAAGCAATTGCCCAATATGAATATTAACCATTTCCATCTTTACATAATCACCTGAATAAAAATCTTGGAATAAATTAAAGAAAGATGATGTATTGCAAAGTAAAGATGTGTGATTACATACACTTATCAAAACTAGAAAATTCACCAAGATATGAATCAAGATTGAACATTTAGAAAACAATAATAGGTTCAATAAGGAAACCTTTTGGTGCCTTGGTCACCGATTGAATTATACTACATTTTAGAGACAACGGATAATATTGATGATTAATTTAAAAATTAAGGAGTATTTTATAACATATACTCTCTCCGTCCCAAAATTATTGTCCACGTTTGACTTTTGAAGTCTTTCCATGTAAACTTTGACCATAAATAACTTTATTTGTATTATAAAATTTTGATGAAACTTATAACAATAAAAATACATTTAAAAACAATCTATGCATATATCTTGTATAAAAAATTATATAACAAAAAGTAAATTATTTAATGTCAAATTTAAACAAAAGAGACTTAAAAAGTCAAACGTGGACAATAATTTTGGGACGGAGGGAGTAGTAGTTTTCAATCATAATCAATATGTATGTATGTATCATGTATGAATGCATGCATGCATGTATCACTACAAGAAGAACAACGTTTACAGACGACACCTATCCAGACGACATATGTCGTCGGTACAACGTTTTCCAACTTTGACCATATGTCTTTGACCAGAAAAGCTATGCCGACAACACATCGTCTGCATAGACTCGGCGGGAAGGCGCAAAATATTGGCGGTATGTCGAAAACCTATGACGACGACATGCCGTCGGTATAGGATATTAAAAAAATATTTTCGATTTATTTATATTCCTTGTCGCAGAAAATCAAGACGTCGTTGTTTTCGTCAACCTATGCAGATGACATGTCGTCTGTATATAGGGTATTAAAAAAATAATTTCGATTTATTTTTAATTCGTGTCGCAGAAAAGAAAGACGATGTCGTTTTGTAATCCTATAACAAGGACATGTCGTCTGGAAAAAGTGGGATCGATCGGCGTGAAATATCTGTCCAGACGATATGTCGTCTGGAAAACCCTTTTTATTTTATTTATTTTTTTAATGACGTAAAGTGGAACGACGTAGTTTTGTTTTACCTATACCGACGACTTGTCGTCGGTATAAGGTTTCCTGTAACAAAAGTCGCACCCTGCGTTCATTTTCCAGTTGCTTGCACTTTCTTTTCCCTCTCAAGCTTTGGCGACGCAGACGATTTCCGGCCACTCCGATTCATTGGCGACCTAAAGGTAAGGTTCTTGGTCCTTGATTTCTTCTTAATTTGTAATAGCTTGAGTTTTTACTCCGATTTTAGGGGATTTATTTCCGGTTGTTGGAGCCCTAAATCACAGCCTTCATCACCGCTGGCCGGCAACAACCTTCACCACCGCCGAAGAAAACGATTTCTGGTGATTCAGCTATCTTCACCACCGATTTTAAGGTAAGTTTTTTGATTTTTTTTTCATGTTAACACACCACAATACGTGAATGAAGTTTGTGATTTTTTTCCTTTCAATACACCATGATATATAATTTTTCTCTGATTTTGTTTGGTTGATATATATATATATGCATTTTGAGGTATGAAAGTGTGTTTTGACATGAAAATGAAAATGAAGTTAGGCATGATTTGTTTATGTTCATTGTGGTGTATTGGCATGAAAATGAAATTAGGAATGATGTTTGGTTTTGTATTTAGATGTATACATTTGTATGAAATTGAAATTTAACGTCTAAAATGTTAGGTGCTATAAGGTATGATTGTATGAAATTGGATGTATTGCTTAATTGTTTGAAATTGGAAGTTGAATTGGATGTATTGTATGTTTAATTGTATGAAATTGGAATATGAAAGTGGTATTGTATGTCTAAAATGAAATGAAAATTGGAATTGAATGTATTGTATACATGTATGATTATGTGATATTTAGGTTTAATGTAGTAGAATTTTAATTTTAATTTTAATTTTAATTTTAATGGTATGTTATGTTTATTAAGTGTTTGATATTATTATGCAAATATCCTTTTTGGATTTGTTTTAAAAAAACAGATTTGGTATATAGAACAAAACCTGTGAAAAAAAAAAGGTTATACCGACGACATGTCGTCGGTATAGCTTTATAACTGTAAAAACGGTTTTACCAATCCCGACGATAAGTCGTCAGTATTACTAGAACGGAAGTTGGCTGGCACCTACTTTTCCCAACGACAAGTCGTCGGTATTGCTCACACTTTTCCGACAACAAGTCGTCGGGATAGAGTCCGAATAAAACTTTTTCTTATTTCAGGAAAATTAATCCCGACGACCCTTTGACGACGACATGTCGTTTGGATTGGTTATTCTGTACCGATGACTCCTGTCCCGACAACATCTTCGACTTTTACCAACGGAGCTATTTTTACAGACGAAATGTCGTCTGTATAACATTTACCGACGACATGTCGTCAATACAATGTCCATAATTGTTGTCTGCATAGGGCTCGATCCTTGTAGTGTATATATATGTATGTAAGTATGGAGAGGGAGAGAGAGAGAGAGAGAGAGAGAGAGAGAGAGAGAGAGATTCGTAGGTGCTTGGATCCTATATTGTTTCCTATACATATGTGTATGTAACTATGTATAATTGTTCAGATGAAGTAAAGTCAATAAAAACAAATATTTTTTCTTCCCAAGTTTCATTTAGAAGAAAGGATCAAGTGCAGATTTAGGGGGTGTTTGGAGTCATTAACTTGATTATTGTGACTTGAGTTGATAGTAACCTACCCATAAGCAAGCCTACTAAAGGGTACAATGATGATCTCTCATAAGAAGTTGCTGAAATGGAAGGAAAACCAAGTATTATTATCCGACATATATACAATTCGTAATTAATTGTAAAGATAGTTGAATTGGATAAAAAAAAATACGCATATGAAATTGACATTACTGAAAAAAAAAAAAGTAGAAGAAATTAGGAAAAAAAACAAAAAGCATAACCTGGGTTTGCTAGAATGAGTATTAAGTCAATTGTAGGATTAGGAGCTGCAACTGCAAGTGCTAATGTTCCTCCAAAAGATTCTCCAAGCAAATAAATCGGCTTATTTGGAGACAAATTATGCTCAATCTTCACACTTTCTTCCACAACTCTAATCAAACCTTCATGCAAATACAAGGGTAAAATGGTCATTTACTCTCTCATTCTACTTGTTTCTTGAAGTTTTACATAATATAAATACAAGAGAAGATGATAACCTTCAAATGGTGTTCGATCATGAAAAGTAATATGCAAGCATTGAACATGAAAAACCCTGTGATTCAATTCGGAAAAAGATCACTCTAAAATCGTTGCATATCAATAAGATACTAGATCTTCTTACAAGGGGCATATTTGGTAATAAAACAAACTCAATAAGTAGATGTAGATCAATTGCAACTTACTTTCCAAGAGATTTCTCATGTAACACAAGGCCAGTTCCAGTCCCTTCAATTCCTACAAAAAGTATCACATTCAATTAATAAAACATTAAACAATCTTTTAAGTTTTAACAACACTAAAGAATGAATATAATTCATGTATATATTCTTGAATTTGTGTAACTTTATAACCTAACACAAATTACCAGGTAAATACAAAAGAACAGGTGAATCTTTTAGAGGCATGCCACAAGCAACAGGACAAAACCACCTAGGTGGCCCTCCATCACTCTTAATCAAATCCATGGTTTTTCTATTTCTACCATAACCATCATCCCACAAAGGTTGCAACTTTTCAGGGGCATTTTGGGAACTCTTTTTTCCTCCATAATCATAACACGCTACAAAGGTTTTCTTCCTCTTACAAGAAGAAGAAGCTCCATTAATTTTAACTGATACCCATGAATCCTCACCACATACACTCTTAACAAATCCACTTGGATTGCTTGCGATTAAGGCCATTATGGAATACTTCCACAAATAAATTGCTCTAAGAATCAAAATCAAGACTCTAATAATTTGGGGATATCAATATATGTTGAAATGTGTATGTATTTATAACTTCACTAACAGAAACTCAAACAAAAAGGTGAAAATTACGTATTTAAATGAATGAAAGGTCGGTTTCATGTAGTACGTGACAGAGATACAACAACAACACATTTATATAGGTGGGAAAAACTACTCATAAGTATATAAACAGAATCAAGGATTAAAAAATTAAACTTGGATTATTTTCTCTTTCTTTAACCTGGATGATCAAATGGTGAATTTGAGAATGAAAAAGATGGAGACTTCCATTGAAATTTGTGGGTATCTCCATTGCAGTTGCAGCACAACCAAGATAAGCACAAATTTTACTTGTAGTTTTCCAGCGAGAGCGTATTTGGTTCTGAAAACAAAACTAGCAAAAAAACATTGGTAAAATGTTCGTGTAGCGTTTAATTTTTTGCAGAATTTGGAAGAAGCGTGCTGAAGAGGAAATTCAATGCTTGATCACTTACATTGATTTGTCGCTTGAAGATTATAACTTCATTTACCCTCATAATCTTTCTTTCAAATGAAATTTAATGTGAAGATTGATTGATTGATTGATTGATTGATATTGTATCTCACTCGAAAAGGTTGGACACATCATTGCTCCCGTCCCCTTCAATGTAGCATTTTCAGTTAAATAGCATTCGTAAATTTGATTCAATCCTAATACACATACGCTCAGAATGAACAAGAAGCAACTCTATTTCTGTAATTCTGCAATGTAGCTCGGAATATAGGGCAGTAAAGCATATTATTTTCTTCTTGATTTCACAGTGACCGTGTTTAGACCGTCGGTGTGCCACGGTGGCAGCCCACCACCACAATCGAGAACGGCAATAAAATAGAGTTTTTTTTTTTAAATTACACATTTAGCCCAAAACACTTATTTTTTTTTTTTAAAAGCCAAAAAAATAGAGTTCTTTTTTTCAGAAAATAGCCATTGAAATCACATGTGGTTATGCCACATGTGATTTCATCTCATGTACTGGGATTTTTTTCCATGTAAAAGGCTTTTTTTTCTTGAAATCACATATGACCTAGTGCCACCTACGATTTCTTATGGTCGATTTTGTTGTTTTTTTATGTACTTGTGTTTTCCTCTTTCCTCCGATGTACTTATAAAGTCTTCGGATGAATATTGATTTTGAGTCATTGAGAGGGTTGAGAGAATTTCTTGAAGTTGAAATTGTGAAAATAGGGTTACTCCAGATTTTGAGGTTTATATAGTGTCGGCCCATGAGCCGAAAATGGGCCTAATTCATAGCCCAATATAGCAAGATAGCAGTTGGGAAGGCTGAAATCGCATGTGAGCTTAATCACTTGCGATTTAATTGATTATTTTATAAAAAGTGATAATTTTTTGCTATTTAGTGATGGGTTGAGAGCACTGATGATGATTATTATGTTAGGTTTCTTGACATTATTTATGTTAAAGAGTGAAGGATTAGCTATACAATGACACTTCAATGAACCACTACTCGACGACTGGATTAACCGATTAAGGATGACAAAGCAAAAGATGGAGGTACTAAAAGTGAATACTTTAAGGATGATGATATGGAGTTATTCTTGTTTGATGACTTATTAGTTGATAACGAAGAGGATGGTGAGGTTGTTGAATTGAAGAAGTGTTCTCATCCCTTTTTTAGTAACATAAGTTTTATTTCAAGACCACATATAGCCGATGATAATGATAAAGGAGATGATGACAACAGTAAAGCCCTAGTTTATCAATATTGTGATCAAAATCATAAATATGATACATTAGTATCCATCATTGGTATGAGATTTTGTAACCCTAAAGAACATAAGTTATTCTTAAGCAATTATATGGTTGGACATAACCTAGGTATGAAAAATATGATTCAACTAGATTATTAATTAGGTTATGATAGGACCTTCGGTTTTAGGTCAGTTTTCACATATTCATGTATATGAAATCAAACAATTATTCGTTACATTTTGAAAACCCAAATTGAGTTTTAAAAAAAATGAAATTTGAAGTTGTAAATAAATTCAACATCAATTTTAGTGTTAGGCAGTGTAGAAATGCAAAGAAATATGAATTAAATGAGATTGAATTCACATTATGAAAATTAAGGAGTTATGGTGAGGATATTTGAAGGTCCAATCTAGGTTTAACGGTTTCAATAAATGTAGATATTGTGTTTGATTAGTTATTTTCTAAAGATATATGTTTGTCGGGAGGGTGTAAATGATGGTTGATTGAAGGATGTAGAAGAGTTATCGGTATTAATGGTTATTTTTAAAGGCATTTGCAGAGGTGAGCTATTGTCGGCGGTTGGAAAGGACTCTAACAACCGGATGTACCCTCTTGTTTAGGAAGTAGTAGCAGTTGAAAATAAGTAAAATTGGAAGTGGTTTTTAGACCTCCTACTTGAAGATGGAAAATAAAAAAGGGAGTAACCCTAATTTCATACCAACATAAGGTGTGTTCTAACCTTATCTAACTAACTTTTTTAATCTACTAAATGTGTAGGGTCTAGTTGAGGGGTTAAGGAAAGAGTGTTAGAATGTGAGCATAAACAATGTGTTAAGCACATATATGCCAACTTCAAGAAAAGGTTCACAAAGTGTCCAAATATATGAACTTTTTTGGACAACTAATCCCACAACTACAAAAGAAATTAAAGCAACACTAAAGCAAATCAGGATGATAAACACAGCACCTTATGATCTTTTCATGGAAATACAACCAAAAACATGGTGTTGTGTTTATTTTGAAAAGAATGGGTGTTGTGATGCCATTTCAGAATCTTTCAATGCAACAATTCTAGATGCGATGAAGAAATCCATTTGAACATTGTTCATAAACCAAGTGGTTGAGGTTGTTTGGTTTCGATAGATGCAACTAGAGGGTTTCATTATGGGTCGAAACAACCACTATCGAATGTTTTTCATGAGGTGTGTGTTGAGAGAGACAAGAACATCGTCATGTTTAAAATACTAAAATCTTCTCACGTGCAAGGCACACTATGGGGCTTAACTATGGTTAGGACAATGGACCAAACCTGTTACAAAAAATTTAAATAGACATCATATATGCAATAAATAAATGTCATGGACTAAACCTGATACTTTTGACAAACCAAAGAGAGAAACGTGTAATGTGAATAATAGGCACACCAAAAATTAAGTGCAGCACATTCGATTCTGTCAAGAACGGGTGGTTGACTACAAGATCGCAGTATCTTCCCCACCAGATTGGGACGATTGCGATTCATCGTAGAGAATCACGAATTCGTCAAATTCTCGGATTCATCCTGTTTGTAAGCCAGTGTGAGATTTGATTCAGATCCCATATGCCAAACCCAGCCCTAATTTTCCTCATTTCGCAAGATTCTTTCCCATCTTTTCATAACCTCTGAAAGCTTTTAACCTCAGTTGACTCCTAACCCTAATCTTTTCATTATTCCATAGCTTTAATCGTTGATTTCGAGATACGTTAATGCTGATATTCAGCCGTTGATTACTCTTATACCCACTTGGTAATTTTCTATCCTTTGCTTTTTATATGCTTTTAAATTCCTTTAATGGACGCCCATACTCTCATGTTTTGACTATCGTCATGTCCGTTTTTTCTCCAAATGTTAGGTGACTATCTCAATTCTCAATCATCTGTTCAGTCTGTCAATAAATGATTTAATATCCATATGTTGACTTCTTATTGCTATTTCAGATCTGATTCTTTGAGGCTTCAGAATAACTGATTAATTGCTCCTTCTCTTTTCTGTTCATCCGATATTCTTCAAAGGTACGCTTTCGATCCCTAAACACAAGTCTTTTGATTCTTTTCACTAAATCGTTCAATTGCTTTTATCTGTTTAGAGTTGTCTCCTTCGGTATATGTTGATAGACAATGACCTGTAATTAAATCCATGGCTGAATTTATGTATCAGATCCAAATCCAATCCTTCATTTCGATGCAAAATCCCATTTGACCATGAAAAGTCAACTACTTTTCCTAAATTGAAAATCAAATCATACTTCTTACTTGCAGATGACAGACGTAGCAAAGGATTTAACAGCAGGAACACTAGGAGGAGCATCACAGTTGATAGTCGGACACCCTTTTGACACCATCAAGGTCAAACTCCAAAGTCAACCGGTCCCACCACCCGGTCAACGCCCTAAATATTCAGGCGCCATAGATGCTGTTAAACAAACAGTAGCAGCAGAGGGACCACGAGGTCTATACAAAGGCATGGGTGCCCCTCTTGCTACTGTTGCTGCATTAAATGCAGTCCTGTTCACGGTTAGGGGTCAAATGGAAGCCCTCTTGCGGTCTGAACCCAGGGCACCCCTAACCGTGAACCAGCAGGTGGTGGCTGGAGCCGGGGCTGGAGTTGCAGTCGCTGTTCTAGCCACCCCTACCGAGCTAATCAAGTGCAGGTTAGTCCTTTTTACAAGAACTAACAATGTACATTGATTATTAATTTCTTTATTATAGAAAGAATTGAAAATAGGAGTCTATTTTCACAGACTGCAGGCCCAAGGTGCAGCAGTCACCGGACCAGGGGCGGCAGTAACTGCCGCTATAAAATACAGCGGCCCAATGGACGTAGCAAAGCAAGTTTTAAGATCCGAAGGCGGCATAAAAGGTCTTTTCAAAGGTTTAATCCCTACAATGGGGCGGGAAGTCCCGGGAAATGCCGCCATGTTTGGTGTCTACGAAGCCCTAAAACAATACTTCGCCGGAGGAACCGACACCTCCGGCCTTGACCGTGGTTCACTGATAGTCGCCGGAGGTTTGGCCGGAGGTGCATTTTGGGTTTCAGTTTACCCTACGGATGTGATCAAGAGTGCAATACAAATTGATGATTATAGAAACCCTAAATATTCGGGTTCAATTGATGCTTTTAAGAAGATTGTTAAAGCGGAAGGAGTTGGAGGTTTGTATAAAGGGTTTGGACCCGCGATGGCTAGAAGTGTACCCGCTAATGCCGCTTGTTTTTTAGCGTATGAGGGTGTGAGATCGAGTTTGGGTTGATTTTTAAAGGTTTAAGAATATCCCCTATCCTAATAAATAAGAGCTTTCAAATGCCACGTGGCATTCTCTAAGCCCTACCAATCTATTTTTTCCCGCTCTTTTCAGCAAACTAAAATATCGAAATTGCCCTTCCGTTCGATTTAATATCTTCTGTATACACAACTGCTTCATGCGTTGAATAAGGAGATCCGATAATCTTTTAAAATTCAAAAGAATTTTAAATCTATTGATCTATTTTCTGCATTTATTTTAAACAAGGAAACTCGTTAATCAATATTTAACATTATCATTTAAAACCGATCACAACCTTATTTATCGTAATACTTTAAACTTTATAAAGATTTTTATCTATTTTATTGGTTAATACTCACCATATTGCGTTGATTCTTCACATTCCAATCTTTCACAATTCCAGAGCAAGCTCAGGAGCAGAAGAAAAATAAAGATTCTAATCGGCATCCCTTCAATACCTGTAAGTCAAAAACCTTTAAAAGAAATCTGCTCATCGTTATTCATTATACATTTAATCAGTAGATAATGAAATAATTTCAAATCACCATCACTTCACTACCTGTATATCGTTATATCGTTCTTTCTATGAGTCATTCTTAGATAAAAATCATTATATTGCTTTAAAGGGCATCACTTGCTCCAGCATCGATTTTCATTTTTGTGTTCCACTCTATGGGTTGTTTTCTTTCGTGGAGAATCTGAAAAAAATATTTGAAAAAAAAATTAGCTCTAAGTAATCAAATCCGTGAATTTTGGGTGTTTTCAATCAATACTATTTCGATTTCCCATAGGAAATACACAATTTCCTAAGGTTTTTACAACTAATCGCTCCAGTTGGATTCAGTTTGCAGACTTCTAATGGCAGATCAGTAAAACATGAACTGATGAAAGAAAACTATCCAACAGAAACCTATCTTCCAATCCCGTATACCAAAACTTCAATTTAAGCTCTTCAACATCACAACTTATAGCATAATGAAGCCAATTTTCGACTTACAATCCAAATTGAGTATTATAACTGGTACACACTACGAATTTCTTGAACTTCAATTGGCAAAATTCACTTAGGGTTTTGTCCACCAATGAAAAAAAAAAAATCGCCCCTTTAGTTAGGGTTTTCACGACATTGACTTAGAGGAACATCTCAATGTTTAAAAATGAGAGTAGGTACCAATTTCCAAAGATGTTTCCATGGCTTGGAGAGTGTACCTGTTGTAATGTCGTATTTTGTGGAGGGTAAACAAGACAGAATATCAAGAAGCAAGCAATCTGTCAATGTACTGATTCAATCCTCTTCCCCCTTCTCTATATTTTCTTGAAACTTTATTTGTTTTGGGGCAATTTTATGTGTATATCGTTGTTCTTCCAACATTTCCATGGTGGCAACAGAGCCCTCGCAGGTTAGCCCATGAAAAAACTGTGCATTACAATCGTTAGGTGTCTACATATACTCTGAATTTTTGCTTTAGCCCCTAAACTTAGAAAATATGCCCCAAAACGAATAAAATTTAGATATATTTCCATATTCAAATCATTAACCAAATGTTAAAACCTGAAATTTATCCCTAATATGGCTATAGAAATGTCGTGAAGGAACTAAATTATCCATTCAGAATTATTTTATACAATATAGGTTATGTTTGTCCATGCAAATTTATTTATCAACAATCGTCAAAAATTTAGCTTTACGCTTTTTTAATCATCCGAGTATTTTTACTTAATTGGTATTTTTTTTATAAACATAAGTTAAACATAACTAAACACATCTTGATTTAATATGTATCTTTTTTAATTGTATAAAAAAATTTGAACATGTATATATCCGATAACTAATGGGCCATATTACAAACTTTTATAAAAAATATTGGAATTAGATATTACATATTACGATAATGTAGGTTTATATGTTAGTTCTCTGTAATTTTTCCGTATTTGTCGATATGTGAAAAAAAAATGACATTTGTTCTACATATAAACATTATGAAATACTTATTGTTATCTGTTAGACATCTTAATTTATAAACTAATTCGAGTTATATGTTAAATTTGCAGACATACAATGCATTCGTTTCCTTCTAAAAAGTCTAGAAAATTAAATTCTTTCTACTTAGATAATACAATTAATATTAATTTGTGTAATACATCAACACATCTATCTAGAGCCACTATAACTGTTAATACTTCAATTTACAAAGATATTTTTTTCATAATTTTTTTATTATATTTTAATAACATACACATGTATTAACATAAAAAATTAGATAAATTGCCAAATTCTTCGTCCGTTGGAAATTAATATTCTTCCGGATTAGTTATTGATGCTTACAAAGGTACGTTTATTTCTTCAACATTATATAAACATATTATTTACCTAATTATATATTTTATATCATATCCTATTATCTCTTATGCAGAAAACAACAATAACATGTACCACTTGCAAGCCAGAGAGAAGAGAAAACAAAGAAAATTATATTTGGAAAATAAAAGATCGAAGAAAATGAATACAATATCAAACGTTCGAAGTACATCAATACCGTATCACTTAAAAAACATGGATAACTATAAAATTCTTATTTTATATTACATGTATTACACTTAATTTACATTTATATACAATACATGACTTCTCATATTTTTTTATTAACCTATAATATTATATGATTTCAGCTTATTAATTTATTTTATACGATATGATTTCAGCTTATTAATTTATTTTATACGATATGTCTTCAGTTTTCATAAGTTTTTGCTACTTACAGATCAATCAACGAATGTTGTCTTCAATTTTCATAAGTTTTTGTTACTTACAACTTATTAATTTATTTTATACGATGTGTCTTCTAAAATAATGATATATTATTTTATTACATAATTAAAATTTTAATTATATTTAAAAATAACACCCGTGGGTTCCACGGGTTTTAACCTAGTTGTTTTAATAAAAGGGTTTACAATTTTTTTTTAATATTGATCATGAAAGAGTAGTTTTGTCGATCGGAATCTTTGTTGGGGCCAACCAAGGAGTTGGGGTGGTGATGTAGGAACCATTTTGGCAATTTTGTCTAAAAATTAACAGAAAATACATAATAAAAGGTAAAAATTATTTGTTAAACTTAAATTTAAATTTTTGATAAAACGAAAATGCAAATTACAAGTATCATTTATAGTATTATTATATATATTAAAACAAAAGTCTTTAGGAATAATACACTTTTTGTGTTTCGCATTTTTTTCCACAAGAATTTTCTATTTCATATTTTTACTACAAGACTTTCCTATTTTATATTTTGGCCATAACACTTTTTTATGTTGGCAGGTTTTGTTCTTAGACTTTTGTATATTAGTACTTTCCAGTTCCACCATCTACTTTGTACAATGACACTTTCCATCTTTCTACTTTCTAAAATGTCATTTTCATTCCTTCAAATTTGGACAACATTTTCCACCATTTTACTTTTGGTACATCCTTTTGTAAGAATTAACATTACTTGAGACAACATTGTGTTGAAAAGAACACCATCCCTCTCTAGGAGTGGTGGAGAGAAAAAGGAACCTTGATGTTGATGTGACAACATGGGCACCATATATTCTAGCCTAATACCCAATAACCTCTCTCACTCACTCACTCATATAGTAAAAAATTCACAAGTGTTATGGGGTGGTGGTGTGATTAGTATTTTGTAGGATAAATGGTTGGAAAGTGATATTGATATGATATTGATAAACTTTAATGACTTTTTATTAGATTGCAAAACTGTTCCTTGTCTTTAGCAAAAAAAAAAGTGTCCATTGTCCCAAAATAAATTCAACTAAAGTAAAATTATTGGTTTACCATTTTTTTTAATACTATTTAAATAATAAAAAAGGAATGGCCCTCCCTCGGACCCTCACTCACACATATACAACCAAAAAATAATGGTTTTCTTTTGGTATCACCCCAAATCATAAGAACCCTTCACAAGAAGTCAAAAAACCACTACCACCTGCCGCTTTCAATGGTTGCAACTCGAAACAACAAAAGTTTTTTTTTTCCTAAAACGGCAAACGGATTAAGCGGAAGCCTAATCATAATATTTCAGCGAGCACTTCGAGTTCGAGCTCCTTTACAGAGCAAACTCATACCATATAGGGATTTCAACTAAAAGTACAATATCCTCCTTTTTTCCAACCGTATAATATGATCGAATTAGGGGATGAATGGTGTACCCCAACCAACTCTGCAGACCACTCGACATAGAGTGTTATTGCCGATGTGGCACCGCCCCAACTCTGCGTTAAGGGGTCTTCTGTGGCCATGGTAATAGTTGGCAACACGTCATTCGTCATTTTCAATGTTTTCGGTCAAAATCAATCGTTGTGAACAGTCAAAAAAAAAAAATTTAAAAAAATTACTTATTACCTTTTCACATATAAATACTCATATATATACAAAAATTACTACACCGTTCTTCTATTTCTTATTCTATTTACATAAAAATCAACCACACTTTATTTCAACTAAGCTATGGAGCAAAACCCGAACACCCCTCCACCAAGTGCTCCAGAAGATGAAGGAGAAGACCGAGAAGAAATATTTGAACTAGGACAATCGTAGCGTTTTTATGTTTTTAAATTAGGATTATCATATTTTTTGGCGTTCGATGTTTTTTTTTTTTTTTTGTGTAATGTTATTTTTAGTTTTTTAATGTTATGTTTAATTTAGGGTTTAATTAAATAGCATGTTTTGTTAGATAATATTTGTTTATAAATATTATAACATAAATCAAAAAAACAAAAAAGAAATTGAAAAAAAATAAAATAAATAAAATAAATAAATAAAATTGAAAAAATAAAAAATAAATCGAAAAAAATAATGACATGGAAATTAGTAGGTGTTATAACATGTTCATTTCCTTACTTATTGTTATAACACCATATATGACATGACATGTGAGGTGACAACTTTTGGGTACCCTTTAACATGTTGCCCACACTCACTACCTTAAAACCAAAACCAAAAATACTTCGTAATCCACCACAGCCTACCACTAGAATAAACATGCAACCAACAACAAAATGTTTCCGTCCCATAGATACATATCTCTAGCCTTGGTGGTTAACAGAAATTATGAGCATATGTTTCTTTCAGCCTTTAGAAGGTTTCGAGAGGATAGTTGAAAATACTCAATGGGAGGCTTTGCTTATTAGGCTTAGAGAGCATTCCTTTTCTTTTGCTAGAGATAGGTATTTATGGGAGCTGGAGACATCGGGTGATTCTACTTTTACTTGTTGCTTTGATTAGATATTTTTTGGATTCGATTATTCTTATATTTATTGGTCCCCAACAAGATGGAATTGTTTAGTTTCAACTAAACTAATTTATGGCATATTCGAAGTGACAATTTCTACAAGGTTGAACTTAATAGACAAAGACATTGACTTGAAGTCTGGATTATGCTCTGTTTGTAATTGTATCGGGAGTTTTAGTCATTTGTTTACTACTTGCTCGAATCTTTCCACTTTATAACATCAAATTGGTGTTTGATGGGAACTCTGGTTACCATCTACTTTCATGGTTTCTTATTTCATTTTGTGAGCTGATTCTTCTGCTCTTAACAAACTGTTGTTTGGTAGGGACTCTCGTTACCATCTACTTCCACGGTTTTTTATTTCATTTTGTAGGCTGATTCTTCTAGTATGTCAGCTCTTAACAAGTTGTTGTTTGGTGGGGACTCTCTTTACCATCTACTTTCACCATTTTTGATTTCATTTTGTGGGCTTATTCTTCTAGTATGTCAACTCTTAACAAACTGATGTTTGGTGGGGACTCTCATTACCATCTACTTTCATAGTTTTTGATTTCATTTTGTGGGCTGGTTCTTCTAGTATGTCAACTCTTAACAAGCTGATGTTTGGTGGGGACTCTCGTTACCATCTACTTCTACGGTTTCAGATTTCATCTTGTGAGCTGATTCTTCTAGTATGTCAACTCTTAACAAACTGTTGTTTGGTGGGGACTCTCGTTACCATCTACTTTCATGGTTTTTGATTTCATTTTGTGGGTTGATTCTTCTAGTATGTCAGCTCTTAACAAGTTAATAAGATGTATTTCGATGCGGTGGTTATTGTCATATTTTGGTCTATTTGAAATTTTAGGAACAATCTAGTTTTTGGAGCAGAGAAGCCTATGAGATATTCACTTTTTGATGATATAGTGTCCCTTTTTTTATTTATTTTTATTTGCAATAGGCCTAAGAACTTCTCTGAGATATTCACTTTTTGATGATATAGTGTCCCTTTTTTATTTATTTTTATTTGCAATAGGCCTAAGAATTGTAATATGCTTTAGGATCATTGATTGTGTAATCCCCAATTAGCTACTTCGTAATTTTTTCTTCTATAGTGTCTTGCTAGAGTTTTTATATATTTCCGCCGTTCTAAAAAAAATAGCATGAATTACAATCTTAGTTCGTTGTAACTGGACAACAAACATACCCAATAAATGTCAGAATCACTCCGTTATCAAGAGAACAAACCTAACACTCTCTTTCGAGCTACTCTCAAAGCTCCACATACCAATTAACATACAATCATGTCAGTAGCAAGCATTCTCGTCATCCAAATTTGTAAATTTGGATTTTGCATACAAATTTTTTACAATAGAGTGGACCCAAGAATTCTAGAATCATGCCGATAACAAACACAAATTGTCAAATTCCATCATAAGACTACATGCAACTCTGAACACCATGGTGAGTGGAGCCATTACTACAAAACCATCATCAACCACCAGCAAACTGATATTAATCCATATGAAATCATCATATCCTTAAACGAACTAAAAAGTATAAAAACTTTGTAGTTTTCAAATCCATTAAAGCATATGATATAAATAAATAAATAAATGTATAATCATAAACATTAAACAGAAAAAATATGAGCTGCAATTTGAGTACATTTTAATGGTATTGAAAACAGAAATGAATCTCCCAACATACAACCTACATGACAAATTCAATGTTTGATGACCAGACTACATTTTCTGGTCAAGCATCTAGATTCTGGACACCTAATTAGAAAAAAACTTGTTCAAGAAATACACAGATGAATACTCTTTTACAGCCAACTATATATTCTAAACAAACATTCAAAGTTTATAAACAGAAGAAAAAAAAAAGCAAAAAAAACACTTAGAAAAAGACTATTTCACAGCCAGTGTACCTTAAGTTAAGTTGCTGTAACGATGAATCCATACACAGTTAGCATTTTTCTGCTGTTATCATCCATCTTATCTTATCTAATCCCTCCATCTTGGACTTTGAATTGAGAAAAAACCTGGAGATGGAAACCCCATGCCAGGAGAAGGTGGAGGTGGTGGTCCAGGTCCTAACACTCCTGGTTGAGTCATGGGTGAGAATGAAAAATTCGGTGTTAATGGTGGAGGATGCTGATAACCAGGAGAAAGTAAAGGGTATGGTGATCGAGGAGACAATAAGTTTAAGTAACCAGATGGAGATGGAAGAAGAAACTGAGAAGTTGGTGATGGTAAAAGTGGTGGAGGACCGTTCATGTTCATTCTTGGTGACGGAAGAGGTGGAGGTCCGTTCATCCGGGGAGATGGAAGAGGAGGAGCTCCATTGTTCATCCGAGGAGATGGAAGTGGATACGGAAGCAATCCCGGTTGCTGATGTTGACCTTGAGGATTTTGTTGGTATTGAGGGTGAGGGGGTTGTTGTTGTTGTTGATTTCCTTGACCTTGACCTTGAGTTGAATCTATGATGGAATGCTGAAGGTAACGCATATAAGCAGAGATAGGAGACTCGGCGGTGTTTGCCCACCCTGTATGATCACCGGAAGCCATGGGTGGTGGTTGTGGCATACCTGGTGGTGGCCGTTGTTGACCATGGTGGGCAGGTCTAGCATAATTACCATTATAAGGAGGCGCGCCAAGCACTGCACCATTTGGTGGACGAAGCGGAGGCATCTGGGAGCGAGACATCTGATCTTGTCCCATATGATGAATGGGAATGGGCATTCTAGGGCGGTTTACATTAAGCGGAGCTAATGGTGATGGCCGGATTCTTTGCAACCGCATGCTAGGTGGTTTAGGTGAGTTCTGCGGAGGTCTCGGAAGTGGCTCCTGAGAATTCCGGGAAGGTGAACCGGTGAGCTGCTGAACAATACTCTGAAAATCGTTCTTGTTGATGTTGTATACTTGAGGTTGAGGTTGTTGTCTCGCCGGATTCGCGAAACTTGGTTGGTGTAATGGACTTTTCCTGATCGCTTTCCCAATTTTGTTAACACCTAAATGCTCATTGTTCCGATTCCTCGAATAATCAGAATTATCCATTTTGATCCGATTTTCAAACACAAAAAACCCTAAGAATCTCAGGCGATTTCAATTCCACACGTAATTCCCAATTTTTCAACTTGACAACTTCAAAAATTGAAACCGATAAATCAAAGCGAGGAAATGAAATGAACACACCTTTGGATCAAATCGACTTCAACACCAAACAAAATCCTTTGTTATACAGAAACCCTAAGCGCTTAATTAGGGTTCCACGAGCACTTTGACTGTAGTTGCATAAGAGAAAAAGAGAATTATCAATTGTGACTTGACTTCCGATGGCGAAGAAGGATTGCTTAAGATTTGAATCGGTCTCCGATTATTTTCTTTAAAAGCAATCGAGTAGTTGAAAATTTAGGATTGTAAAAGAAATTTTGGAGAGAGAAGAAAAACCCTAAAGCGTAAAGGAACGTCTGAACTGGGAATTTGGGAGTCAATGGATGGATTAAAAGGGGGATTAGGTTACAGGGGCGATAGCCATTGGGCAAGTTGGGCCCTTTGTCGCCATGTGTGACACTCTGCTCATGTAATCACTGTGTGTGTAAAGACTAAAGAGGGACAAATTCTGTTTTTAAAATTTCACAAAATTTGAAATAGATGATATAATATTATTTGGATAATATAAACAAGAATATCAGTATTTTAACTGCAATTTACAGAAAAATACACTTTGCTAAATAATATATCATTTCTGTTTGTCTAGAAAATGAAATATAATATTTTTTACCTATTGATTTAAAAAATAATCCTATTAATTAGTTTAGTTTAAATGATATAACAATTATGACCCACGACAAAGGTGTTACATGTCATTTGTTATCAAGATGTAAAACTAGATAGAAATATAATATGGTTTTTTTTATTATCAAATTTTGTCTTCTAATATGTTATAAGAGGTCAAATTTATGTCAAATCATGAGCCATAACGTATTTAATTATTGCATCATTTAAATGGAATCGAGAAATAAGTTCTTACCATAAATTTGTTAAAAATCAATAGGTAACAAATAATGTGTGTTTTTATGTATTCTACCTTTGTTTTAAAATGTTAAGTTAAAGGATTTGATTTGACTTATTTTTTTTATGTTTTTTTTTATCATTTATAAGTAATTCAATTGAATAATAAAAACACATTTTGTATTTTCATCAAATAATAACATACAACCTAATATTGAAGTTGCCGGTCACGTGAGTTTATTATCAATATTATGTTTGATGTAGACATCAAATAAGCATTCTAATTATAATATGATGCACGAAAACATTGCCACAATGGTGTGAATTGTGCTCCTACTTTTTTATTAATTTTATAAGTTTGTGTTCTGGATTTAATTTTTTTAATCCTCCATTACATATGCTTGAATTAGTCAAAAACACCAAATCAAATTAGGGTTTTTTTTTCATTGGTAATTGGAGGATGTTCAAAGAGGATGGTGGAAGGGATATTGGGATGTCTGTTTCATGAAGAATATTTTGAGAGCTTATTTTATAATGTTTAATTGTAAGTGGAAAATAATATGTGATGTTAAGTTTACATGGAGTGTTATGATATAAATAAAAGTAGGGAAGGGTAAAGGCTCCAAATAAAATGGCAAGGTGCACTAAGCAAAGTTTAGAGAATTGAATAAACAATATATAACGATGATAAGAGTTCGAAATTTCATATTTAAGGGGTGTTTGTTTTCTTAATAGGTCAAATATTTATGGTTTTTTTAATACTATCTATAGATGATGTTTGAATTTTTAACCAATTTTTGAAGAAGGAAGAATGTATTATAAGCCTAGAATTGATTAAGGTGAGTATATATCTAGAATACATGTCCCTTAAAACTATTTATTGAAATGTTTTAAAAGTGTTACTTATACAGTTATACTTATATAACTTGCATGTTACGTAGCCTTATGGCATGTGTGTGTAAAGAAAGTAAAAACGCAAGAGATTCCCAACTTGAACAATTTATTCACTATAAACCAATTCGATTATACATCAATATACAAAGGAAAAGTCCACTACATAACTCTGACACTCATATGAACACAAGAAACAGAAGAATGAACTTCACAGAAGAACAATCTTTAAATCTGTACAAACCCTAATTACAAACGAGAGAGTTCTATCATAGAGATGACACGAGTGAGTTACACAAATGAGCTCCAAATACACAATAAATACTATCGGGTAAACGAATCAGCAAAAGCTCCATGGAGCAACCCAGGACCCGCGTTAAAACCCGACAAACCTGCATAAGTTACACAATATACCCAACAAAAAATAGAAACATACAAAACTTACCCAAAATAAATTAATGTTAAGTTTTACCATAAGAAAGTATGAATTATTTCAACCCCCCCCCCCCCAACACACACACACACACAAAATGAACATTAATTCATACAAAAAAAACCTTTATTCTTTAAACGCATCAACTAAACCAAGTCGACCATAAATATACTCATGTTGAGCACTTCCAAGTGTTTTGGTCAGATTGTCCGCATTTTGACGTAAGGATTCAATTTTATTTACTTTTAAAACACCATTTCCAATTTTTTTCCCGAACAAAATGAAGGCCGACTTCAAAATATTTGGTTTTTCGTGAAACACAGGATTTAACGTCAACTTAATGGCTGACTCATTATCATAGAAAATATTCACATGAGTTAAATTTTTTTTGCCCAAATCAAATAACAACTTCAGAATCCGGATCACTTCATAAGTCACAAATCCTAAAGCTCTATACTCTGATTCAGTGGCAGAACGAGAAACAATACTTTGTTTCTTGCTTTTCCAAGACACAAGAGAACCACTAAAATAAACAAGATATCCAGTTACAAATCTTCGACTGAAGAGGCATTTAGCTCAATCAGCATCCACAAAACCAATAAGATCAAGATAACGATTCTTTGTTATATGAACACCCTTACCTGGACTATCTTTTAGATAGCTCAAAAGTCTAAATGCAATATTCAAATGTGACTTGTATGGTTTATGCATATATTGACTTAAATTTTGAATAACATATGAAATATTTGGACGAGTCATAGTCTAATAAATCAATTTTCCTATTAATTGGCAGAATTCAGTTATATTCACCACATAATCATAATTGTCTAAATCACATTCTCTCTTAATAACCAAATTAGCTTTAAGGGGAGTTTGAACAGGTTTACAAGCAAGCATTCCAAATTCGTGCAACAACTCTAAACAATACTTCCTTTGATTGAGATAAATTTCTTTATCAGTCTTAATAACTTCAATTCCCAAAAAATATTTTAGTTCTCTTAAATCCTTAATCAAAAACTATGATTTCAAAAACTTCTTATCATTTTCCAATTCCACATTCCAATTTACATTGATAATGATGTCCTCAACATAAACTAACAAAACCACAACAGTACTTTCAAAATTCCTGACAAACAATGAATAATCATTAATACTTTGCTTAAACCCAAAAGTTGAAAGAGAATAACATAACTTTTCATTCCACTTCCTAAGAGCTTGTTTAAGCCCATAAAGAGATTTTATTAGCTTACAAACTCTGATATCACCCTTAGAATAATATCCTTCAAGAAGTTGCATATAAACACTTTTAGACAAATCATCATATAAAAAACATTATTTATGTCAAGCTGATACAAAGGCCTAGAAAGATGAATAGTTAAGGATAAAACAATTCTAACAGTGACAATCTTAGCCACATGAGAAAATGTCTCCTCATAATCTATTCCTTCCCTTTGACTGTATCCTTTTGCTACTAACCTAGATTTATACCTTCCTATTTCACCATTAGACTTATATTAGATTTTATAAATCTAACGACATCGAATAGCCTTTCTTCCTTTAGGAAGATCAGTGACTTCCCAAGTATTATTCCTATAACAGGCCTCTGTTTCCTCATTCATTGCTTTTATCCAGTTTAGATCTAAAGCAGCCTCACTATAAGTTTTGGGTTCAGTGGTTTAATTAAGATTAGAAACAAAACATAGATTTCCATTATTAAGAACATAATAGTTAAAATAACGTTCAATTCCATATTTGTGCCTTTCCTCCACAACATAGTCACTAAATCTAACTGGCATGTGTACATCACGTCCAAACCTAGTGACCCTAGTAGACTGACCCTCAAAAGGAATAGTATTAACTTGACCACTTTCCTCGGTTAAAGTAGAAGAACTTGGAAACGTCTCACCAGAAGGAGGCACATGTGCCTCGCCAGTATGGTTGCTGACATCAAAGGGACTAGTCTTATCCAAGTTGTAATCTGTACTAGCACCATCCAAGTGATGGACACTTATCAAGTCATCTAAACTAGTGTTATCAAGAAGAGAACTAGAATACAATGACTCATCATATGAAAAAAGATCACTAGAACATAAAGGGACATTGGATTTATCAGTCAAAGATGAAGACTTTAGCTTGAAAGGAAACACAGATTCATAAAATTTCACATCCCTGGAAACAAAAGTAAGAATTGAATCAAGACTAAGAACTCTATAGCCATTTTTATCAGAAGAATAACCAAAAAATATACATTTATCATCTCTCTTAGAAAATTTATCAAAATTATTCAATTTGGTTGTAAAGCACAAACAACCAAATACTCTAAGTTTATCAAAAGTAGGAGAAGTTTTATAAACAAGCTCATAAGGAGAAGCATCCTTTAAAACAAATGTAGGTGTTCTATTAATAAAAAACAGAAGTTAAAATAGCTTCTCCCCAGTATTTAATAGGTAAACCAGACTGAAACATCCAAGACCTAGCAACATTTAAAATATGTTTGTTTTTTCTCTACACAACTCCATTTTGTTGTGGTGTATGAACACAAGAAGTTTGATGTAAAATTCCTTTTGACTCAAATAATTGTCTCATTTTATGATTTAAAAATCCAGTTCCATTATCTGACCTAACAACTTTAATTTTAACTTCAAACTGATTAAAAAGAATGTTAAAGAAAACAAGAACACAATCATAAACTTTATCCTTTGACTTCAACAAGTAGACC